GTTGCCCCTGCGTCCATGCCGGCAGCAGCTCAAGGGCCCCTCTAACTGCAGGAGCCTCTGCTGGGAGGCGGCTGAGTCACTGGTGCCCTCTGCTGCTTACAAGAACTACTTACAGTCCCAGCCACCCTGGGCCACAAGCAGGCCTTCTGGGCATGCCCATGTCCTTCCACAGAACCCGACAAGCTTCCCAGACCTTGCAGTCAGTTCTGAAAAGCTTCAAGTCCCCCCCTCATGCCCATTCTAATAGCTCTCTAACAAGAAAGCACCAGTCTGTTCTGTGCGGGGAAGGGAGCGCCAGCAGCCACCCTCCCTCTGGCTCCGGTCCGGGACTCACCCTGGAAGGGTTCGAAGGTGTCCATGAAGTCCAGGTTGGGCTGCAGAGGGATCAGGCCCGGCTGGATCATGTCCGCGTTCCCCAGATGTGCTGCAGGAGTCAGAGAGGAGCCAGGCTGCCGTCTCGGCGCTGCAGGACCGTGCGCCGGCCCGGCCCCCGCGAGGGGAGCGGCCCCCCGGGGGGGGAGCCACAGGCAGCAGCTGGGGACCGCCACCTTCTGGGAGTCGTGGCTGTGCTCCTCCCCAGACGCAGGAGCCTCTTCTTTTCTTTCTCTTCTTTTTTTTTAAAGTTTTTTTGTTTGTTTGTTTTTGTTTTTTTACCATAGGGCTGCTCACCAGAAAGACAGACAGTGAGACAGAAAGTGAGAACCCCCCGCCACCCAGGGGGGATGGCCACGGACAATCCCTTCTCTTCCATTTTTCTCCTGGGATTCTGGGCACTCGGGCACATTTCGAGCTACTGGGTCCAAGACTCAAACTGTGGCTGGCCATGAGGCAGTCCAGCGCTTGAGCATACGACACGTTCTGCCCACAGGTGCCACGGGCACGGGGCTGCCCACCCACTCCCTGCAAAGGGCCCGCAGATGTCAAACCAGGTGGCCCAATCCCTCCTTTACTGCCTCCCCAAAGCAAGTGACAAATAGCAGCCCAGGGATGGCCCCGAGGCAGGCCTGGGCTGGCAGGCCCCTGGCAGAGAAGGAAGCTCGCGGGTGCCATAGCCCAGGGCCCAGCTTCAGTTACCTATTTCCCGGGGGTTGGGCCAGGCCACCGGCTGATGTGATGAGAGTGTAGAGAAGAGGGTGTCGCTGAATTCGGACATGAGCATGTCTGTGTCCAGCAGCGGGTCCTCCTCCATGGGGACCGGAGTCTTCCATCCGTCCCCGTGTTTGTGCCAGTAGAGCATGTCATCGTCCTACCGCCGGTGGGGGACAGCAAAGGGCAGGTGGGATACAGGGTTCCCCACCCCTCGGGCTGGGGGATACCTACCAGGCTGCTCTATGGAAAATGGGGTGAGGGGGTGAAGACACAGAGAGCCCCTCCCTCAGGCCCACCCAGCCTCAGGGTGTGCCTTGGGACACGGGCCAGCACGGGCAGGACCTCCCGCCGGGTCACTCACCTGGGCCAGGCTGGAGAGGTCCTCATCCTTGTGCTGCTGGAGCTGCAGACAGAGCACGGCGAGGTGGTCAAGGCCCGGGGGAAGAGGCCCGGCCTCACCTCCCTACACAGGTGAGCTCTCTGGAAGATCCAGCCTTTCTCTCTGGGAGGCAGGGATGGGGAGTCCTGCTCCCCAGGCTAATGTGGTACAGAGGAGACCCCCACCCCAGTATTTGGAATAAACAGCTCCATTCATGGCGTGGGAAACAGAGCAATGATGAGATGATGACAAAACGGCCCAAGGCTTGGGCTGGGTGGGAGGGGTGGAGCCCGGCCTTGGAGGAGGGCAGCTGTGGAGCGCATTCTGAACACGGGCCCTTCCACCCTCCCCACGGGAGCCCCGGCCAGGTACCCTTTTCTTGAAGTAGGTTCTCCACTTGTGGTACTCCCGGATCACAATCTCAATGCGGCTCTTCCAGTACTTGCCCTCGGTGGTGATGGCCTGCAGGGGGACAGGCTGCCTGAGCGGAGGCCTGTTGGCCGCAGACACGGCCCAGGGCGAGCACGTGCTGCACTGGGAGGAGGCCTCAGAAGAGCCGGCTGCAGACCCAGCACTGCAGCGTCCCGGAGCGGCTGTCCTGTGCTGCACTAGGCCTCTGGCTAGCACTCCCCTTCAGGACCAAAGATAAGGAGGCTCTCCCGCGGCCTGGGGCCTGCAGCTCTGCACTGGGCCCAGGGCCTGAGCAAGGCCGGCAGGAGGAGGTGCGGAGCCGCTCCCTCCGATGCCCTTCTCAGAAGCCTCTGCTAGGCTTGCGGAGGGTAAAAGCAGAACGGCCAATCACAGGAAGTGTCAGGCAGAAACACCTCCGGGAGCTCTAGTTCAGAACTTTCCCACGTGCCGGGCATAAAGGACTCCGCAACAGCCTGGCAGCACTGCGGTGACCAGGACACACCCCTGCCTGACAGCGCTCCTCTGCTGGACCCCAAGTCTTAGGTCATTTTACCCACGTACATTTCAGGGTGCATCGTGAACTGTGAAAAATCTTTTTTCAAAAAAAGAATTATTTAATTTTTAAAAATTTGTTATTATTATTATTTTTAATTTGACCAGAGAGAAAGGGAAAGTGAGAAAGCAAGTTGCCAGGTCCAGGACTCAAACTGTGGTCGGCCACGTAAGGGTCTAGTGCCCCACCCACCACAACACCTGCCAGCCCTGATAAATCATTTCTTAAGAGCTATGGGCAGGCCAGCGGGTGGCATGGAGGTTAAGGCCGACTGCATGGTTTGAGTCCTGGACCTGATGGCTTGAGAATCACACCAGGCGTATGTGCATGTGTGCCCCAAAATCCCAAGATGAGAATGGATTGCAGCACAGCCATCCTCCCCAGGGGGTGATTTCTCACATTCTCTCTCTCTTTCTGTCATCTCTGTCAAATGCATGTGCACTATAGAAAAAATGAAAATAAAACCAAACGAAATTTAAGAAACAGAGCTATAGTTTAGTGGTTAAGGGAGCTGGGTCCCACGTGGCTGTCTGTGGTTTGAATCTCTGCCTTGGCAGTTTGAAAAACATGCCAGACATGTATGCGTGTGCGCCCCAAGTCCTGACAAGATGGAGAAATGGAGAAGGGACTTGTGTGACTGCCCCGTCGGGGGTGCTCTTCCCTTCTGTCCTCCTCTGGTGAGTCCGTGTCATACAGAGACACACAGTTTCCAGTACCACCACACCTGGCCGAGGATCATGTCCGGGTATGGCAAAACTGTCTTTTATTAGGTTTCTTTCCAATTCTGCCCCCTTCTGCACAACGGTAAGACACGCTTGAACTAAATTAAAACAAGGCAGCAGAGTACACAGAGAAACAAAGCCTGGCCTCCCCCCCTGGCATCCACCATAACCCAGTCCGCTCAGAAAGACACACGAAGATTTCTGTACATGTCTCTAGACATCCCTGGGCACTAGGCCGCACAGAAACCCATGCTCGGCCGACATGAGGCACTAACATACCACTGGGCCTTTTCCATCACTCCTTCTTCCGCCTCGGAACATAAAGACCCTAAGGTGGCTCGTGTCTGACACCCAAGGAGCCAGAATTCCTCCCTGTTGACTTAGAGAAGAAACCCCAACTTTATTATTTTTTTTTAAAAGAATGATCTTATTTAACTTTATTTTATTTATTTATTTTCTCATTTGACCAGAGAGGGACAGAGTAAGAAAGAGAGAGAGAAAGAAAGTGAGAAAGCAAGCCAGCAGCGCT